CCAAGCGTTAAAACGGATAAATACATGACATCACTGTAAGGTACTCTATGCAATTGGATGATCCTTTCGTATTTTTATCAATGACAAAGGATAAATATATCTCCGTACTATCGTAAATGATAAGCAGATATTCTTCGTCATAGTTTTGGAACATCGATATCTCTATCATTCAAAACTTGAGCATATATAATACCTTACACTCTAACGAAACCTAAATAGGGAGTACTATAATCTTATCCATCGAGTCGGTAGATAAGATTATGACACGTGTATGTCCGTTAATATAAGCACTATATATGCTTTATTTTTCGATTGTCAGGTACATCAATGTTTCAAAAGTATGAATGAGGATATTTGTGTACCATTTACTATAGTTAAGTGGTATATTTTTTCCTTTTTCCCTAAAAAAATATTAATAATATTTTTTGTTTCACTTTTATTTTTTCAAAAAAAGATTTAAAAATGTCACCAATCTTTCAAAAAAAAAATTTATGTCATTAATTAAAGAAAAAAAAAAGACTCAAATATATTATCGATTTTTGAGAAAAAACAGACTGTTTAATTATATGCAACTACAGTTGACATGGTACATCACTATAGCTTGGAGAAGTACATAATACGTGGTGCCAACGGCAACTAGTAATCCTTTTGTGTTTAAATTACTTGATTCATGTTGTTTTTGACATGTTTTTAAGAAATTATCAATTTTATTAATTACAATTTGAAAATTTAAATTTGATTATTAAATGTAACTATAAAATAATGAAAACAGTATTGAATTAGAATAATAATTTGAAAAATGAATTTGGTAAAATTGAAAAGTGAAAAAAAAGAAAAGCAGACCTTTGTACAATTCTTTACTGACCAAAATTAACATGTGTGGTGTTGGAGATTCATTGAAAAGTAAATGTAGTGGATGCATAAGTAACAATCACACAAAATACCTCGGAGCATGCAAAAAAACATCTGATCAAATAAAGACTGTCACCAAAGGGTAATTGAAAGTTACCCATTTCCTATTATTTATATTGAAATCGTGATTAATTTTTATTTGAAATTGCATGGAATTTATTAAAAGTGTTGATTTACTTAATAACTGTTCATCTTGAGATAAAAAGTTAACACAATATTATTTTTCTTTGTTTGATTACTAATTTAAGGATAAGTTATATCATAATTAGTATCAGGATGAACTATCTATGTTAGAGGGTGAAATAATAATGTCAAATTAGTAATTTCGAGATTAAATAAAATAATATTTATGCGGTTCCTAAATTTCTTTTTCCTTGATCCTTAATAAAAATAAAGAATTTTTTTTTGTAACTAAATATATTTTTTAGAGATTATGCAATGAATATTAATTTTAATACAATTTAAATGGTCAATGGTCATTAAGAAATGATTTAAGATAATTGGTTTAATATAACTTATTTTCAAATTAAACAGCCCCTTAGAGAAATTATATTGGAACAACATTAAACTCGAATCTAATTTATCTATATAACGAAATATTAAACTGATAGAATATTCGCAAAATTTTAAAAAACATTAGCTCGACATTTAAATTTTTTAGCTTTTTTTTTTTATAAGATCTTTAGTGAAAAATTTGTCACTTCTCCTGCACGTCCTTTTTTCTATTCATTAAGGATTAGTACAAAATTTAATTAAAAATTAAATTAAATCATAAATTAAGTCAATTAGAAAAAGAACTTGATTAGTCATTTCGTTTAACTTGGTTTAATATTTGAAAAAAAGACAAACTTGACTCTATTTGGGTTGGTTTTGTTTTAACAAAAAAAGTCAAACCGAGACAAAACCATTCCGACCTTATATATATAAATTTTTAAAAATTATTTTATACATAAAAGCATTTACTTTGATATAAACTAAATATTACTTATACGTTTTCATAATTTTTATCTTTTAGCATACTTTTCAAGTTTTTTGAGACTTAAAATCTTGGATGGTCCAATAAAGATTGTAATAGGTATTAGTAACTCTACTGAAGCTCAATTCAAAATCAAACCAGTACTGTGCTTCCAAAATAAATTAATTCAACACTAGGAATGACAATAGTTTTGAATATTTGTTCTTTATTTTGACATTGGTTTATAGTTTAGACATTTAAAATATATAATCTAATTTTTAATTTTTCTTTTAATGTTTAATGAAGTAATTAATACTTATTAGAATTATTTGAGAATAATTTAGTACTTTTAGATTATGATCATTTTCATTATAACTTATCAATTTGCAATATTATTTTTTATGAATTTATTTTTATTTTTTATTAAATATTTTAGGGTCATCATCATCTAATATTTTGTATTATTTTCTTAAGAAACAACTTCACTAGTTGTATTTTGGTTGGATTAAAGAAACAGTTGGAACACAAGTTAATTATATGTCTGTATGAATATTTTACCGGAAAAATTCAAAAACATGAAGAAAAAAATAAGAAATTTATTAGTTTGATTTGATTTAAAAATTTAAAATTTCGACACAGATGATTTGGTTTGCTATTTGAAAAATTCAAACCGATTTAGGGTTGAAAAACTAAAAAAATAATCCAAAATTTTATTAGTTTGATTTTGATTTAATACTATAATAAGTTAATTTGATATCTAAAAAATCTAAACTAACCGAATCATATACTCCAATCCTATTTTTCCTTTCCATTTTTGACTCATTTCCAGTTTCCTTTTGACTATAGTAAAAAGGGAAGAAAAAAAACAAAATAGAGAGAATAAATATTAAAGATTTTTTTAATTACTATTAATTAAAAAAGGCCAGAAAGTTACCAGTATGACCAGTGGTAGATACACCATGTAGTGTCGTCCGACATTTGCTTTACCAAAAAAATCAAATAGTATTATTAAATTATTTTTTTCATTTATAGACACATACTAAATAGGGAAAAAGCTTAAATATGCGATTAAATTTTTAGAAAAGATTTATTTATATCATCAGTTAAAAGTTTAATTTATTTATGTCATTATCGTTAAGGAAAAGGCTTATTCATGCTATTATTTTTTAACACCAATTTTGTAAAATTATTTTTGACACTTGATCAATTATAATTTATCCACGTCATCAATTTTTTAACAAAAAATCATAATTCTAAAAAAAAATTGAATTAATTTTTTTTGATTTTTTTATTAAAAAGTCGATGATGTGGTAAATTTTAATTCGGCCACGTCATCAATTTTTTAAATGAAAAAATTAAATTTTTGAATAAAAATTGAATTAATTTTTTTTGTTTTTTTTAATTACAATAATTGATGATATGATCGAATTATAATTGACCAAGTGTCAATTATGGTTTTGCAAAACCATTATTAAAAAATAATGACATGAATAAACATTTTCTTTAACGGTAATGATATAAATGAGCCAAACTTTTAACTGATAACACAAATAAGCCTTTTCTGAAAATTTAATGCATATTTGAGCCTTTTCGCTACTAAATATGATCTAATCAAATAATAATATTTTGATTTGTAAAAGAAAATGATAGTATCTACTTAATTATAAATACTACTCTATAATAGAAGTGTGTTGAATTAGGAATTTATGGTAAAGTCTTTATTAGAAATATTTTATTTCATGATTGAAAAGCTAAGTCGATACACATGACGATGCGAAAATTAAAGGCCTACATAACTAACACCCATTCACCAAAAAAAATTGTGCAATTCATATACTTATTTATATATCTATAACACATCGCGTTTTTATTTTTTGAATCCAAATCTTTTGTCATAGGTGTATAAGCCTGAATCAGGTGATGTCTCACTTGTTCTTATGTGTTAATATTTATTCTTTCGAGTAGGAAGGTATTAAAAGTGGTTTAAGATTATCAGAGACCTCTAGTGTACTAAGTCGAGTTTAAAATCTTCCTACCGAGTAAGTTTTTTGCATTAATTTCCACAAGAATAAACTTTAAATGATCATATTTCTTGGCATGTAATGAATTAGACACCAATTATAACCTATCAAATTAAAGATTTATGAATTCTTATTTTCTCTAATATTTGTTGTTATTTATCAAGAGCGTATAGAAATTGACTATTATATAGCCTTTTGATTAAGGAGGGGATAAGCAAAGTTCTGATAATGAGAGATTAACGTCTGATTAATTATTAAAATGATGGTGAGATATCTTTTCAACCTAATCTTATTTAATTACCAACTATCTCTTCAACAATCATAATCTAGATAAGTGTGCAAAATTTGATGATGTACAAATTATTTGTAGCTTGGTCATTTTCTGCTCTGTCACCTATTCATTTCACATTATTCTATACTCAATAATTTTTTTTTTACTATATATCCGTTGCATAATTAGTCACTATTGACATACTCTATTATTAGATATAATATTTAATTAAATATCGTCTAATGAAATATTAAAAATAGAAAAATTAGTAAGTAAGGCCTAGCCTATTTTATTTGTACTCATTTTTATCAATTTTTTTTATACTTAATAAAAAACCGTTAAATACTGTCTAGTAATAAATTTAAATTGTGAGCAAGAAGAATAACGACCTTTTCTCCCTAATTTTTTCTTCTAATAATTCAAAAATTTCTCCCGTTTCCCCTTCTTTGCTAGGCATAATTCGTACTTAATATATACTACGATTCATTTTCTACAAGTCATCACTATCTTTAAGAGCAAAATTATTTTGACTTGTAATTATTATTTACAATTTTCTAGAAATTCAAAAAACTCCAAAAACGTCATTTTCATAATTTTCATAATTTTCATTAATATCTTATTATGAGTAATTTCAACAACTTCAACAGAAAAAGAGGCGTTTACCTTTAAAATTTTCAACAAAATGTTAATAACGAATATTTCCATTCGTATTTATTTCCCAACAATAACTCTCCAGCGAAATTCAAATGAGTAGGATTTGAGAAGGATATAGTATAGTGTACGCAAACCTTACCATTATCTTGTGAAGGTAGAAAAATTGTTTTCGCAAGACCCTTCATTCAAGTGTATCTAATCGAAGTAAAAGAAGAAGAAAATATTGGAATAAACATAGCAGTTAATAAGAAAAGCTATGTAAGTCTACAATAGAGTAATAATAATAACAACCAAATAATGTGATAATTAAAAAACAATAAATAACAAGAACTACAAGGGCACGACTAGTCTTATGAAAGGCACTAAACATTAACAAGTCAAAACTACACTCTACCCTTACTAGCCTTTACCTAATATGCAACCTCTCTGCGTACCCCCTACATCCAACCTCTCACACACCTCCTCACTGGGGTGTCGACGCACCTCTTCTGTAAATGTATATGATGCCCAAACCATCTAGTCTCGCTCCCTCATCTTGTCCGGTACAAAGGCCACCACTCCCACCTCCTGAATAACCCCAATATTTCTAAATCTTGCCACTTCTAGTATTTCCACACATCCTTCTCTTAACAACATGCATCTTCTAAACATGTGAATTCTTCATAGACCGATACTCCACTTCATACAACAAGAACAACCTAATCACTACTTCGTAGAATTTACCTTTAAATTTAAGTGGTACCTTCTTATCACACAAGACTCCATAGACAAGCCTCCATTTCATCCATGCTATAACAATGCAGTGTCTAAACATCATTATCGATGTCCCCACTATCATGAATAATGGACCCCGAGGTATTTAATAACAAACACCCTATTCTTTTTTAATTTTATAATTTTTATGTCCAAACGCACACATACTGATACATGTTAAAATTCACATTATGAGAGGCAAGTCCATCTGCATTATAAAAGTAAACTTTATTGTTGTTACTTATTAGACTCTCTCTTTCCATAAGGCAATTGCAGAGACAACAATCACTGGAAAATACAAAGAGCAACAAAGACAGAGATAGAGAAAAAAAAGTTTAAAAAAAAACATATACACACACAAACAAAGAGAAAGAGAACAAAAAAAAATTTCATTTGTTTGAAGTGAAAAGGATAGCTGATGAGAGGCTTTGCAACCTTTTCCGACCTGCAATTCTATGAGGTAAATAAAATTCAACTTGTTTTTTTTTATGAAAAGAAAATTAAAGAATTTGAAAAAAATAAAAAAGTCTTTACTTTGATTATTCTCTCTTTTTCTTCTTCTTTTTTTTTTTTAAATACTTTCCTTGTTCCTAATTATAGTTGTATCCATGATCTCTTTGTTCTATGTTTATTTATTTATTTTACTATTTTATGTTCAATCTACGGTAGAATCAGAAGCCAATTGCAACAAAAGAAGGAGGTGGATGAATAGATGAGATGGTTACACGTTTCAATTTTTGAACCATTTGTTTGAATACTCCAATGTCTCAAGAGTATCATCACCAAGGTCTTGCCTCGAATGAATTCGAGAGACCTCAAGACCAACACCACCACCAGCAACAACATATTGGCCAACAGATCCAACAGGAAAAATTAAGAGTAGAACAAGGCTTCGAGCCACGGGGAGGAGAATCAAGTGGAATCCAAGTTTATGAGACAGACGGGATGTTGTCTGAAATGTTCAATTTTCAGACAACGTCCACGGCTGCTATGACTGCAACTGAGTTGTTGCAGGAGCAATTGTCACATTCGAATCAACAACCACATCATCAACCGTGGTTTGGTAACAGACAAGAGATTGTAGTTGGTGGAAGTTTGCAGGTACCATTTGGGGATAACACAAAAGATGATGTGAATGCGAAGGTGTTGAGTAATCGTGATAGTGTAACTGCTTATTATCAGCGTCAGCACAATCAAGTACCAAGTATAAGTACCACGGAGTCCATGCAACTTTTTCTTATGAATCCACAACCAAATTCACCGTCACAATTATCTACTCCTTCAGCTCTTCATCAAGGGTTTACTAGCCCGGTCGGAGGGCATTTTAGTCAATTCATGTGTGGAGGAGCAAGCACTTCTTCAAATCCAATTGGAGGAGTAAATGTGCTTGATCAAGGGCAAGGTCTTTCATTGTCCTTGTCATCTACTTTACAACATTTGGAAGCATCCAAAGTGGAGGATTTGAGGATGAGTAGTGGAGGAGAAATGTTGTTTTTCAATCAAGAAAATCAAAATCATCATAATATTAGTTTTGGGTCATCACTAGGACTAGTCAATGTGTTGAGGAATTCAAAATATGTCAAAGCTACACAAGAGTTGTTAGAAGAGTTTTGTTGTGTTGGGAAGGGTCAATTGTTCAAGAAAATCAACAAAGTTTCTAGGAATATTACATCACCCACTATTAACCCTAGTGGAAGTAATAACAATAATTCATCTTCTTCAAAGGATATTATCCCTCCTAATTTGTCAACTGCAGATAGACTTGATCATCAAAGAAGGAAGGTCAAACTTTTATCCATGATTGATGAGGCATGTACACTCTCTCTCTCTCTCTTCCCCTCTCTCTATTTATTCAGAATTTGAAAATTATGAGTTTGAATTTGAAATTCTACCACAACTTGATTTACTATGGGTCAAAATTTGTATTTATGTTTGTTTAGTGAATTTCTTAAAATATGCATTGAGTTAAAATTACTGAGTTCATGTGAAGTCAAAGAGGTATATTTGCGATCCGGGGGTCAATAACCAATCATTGTTGTTTATTTTTAGTATTACTATATATGTTGATTATAAATTAAAACCACAAGAAAGTGAAGGAATAGAAAATTGTAGGAGTTGGAGGAATCTTTTTATAGAGGAGAATATATATATATATATATATATATATATATATATATATATATATATATATATATATATATATATAAAGCCGGCTAAAAAGAAATAGGTTTTGTAATATCCATAGATTGAGTTTGATTTGTTATTGATTTTGGGTGTTTTAGCATAACATAAGATTTTGTTTTGGTGATAAAATTAGCTCTCACTCTACCATCAAGCTATATCTTTCTACTGCTAAAATATGTTAGATATTATCTTTAAGCGGTGTTTGGTAGGAGGTATTAGAGAAAATAACATTGATATTTCTTGATGTTGTTTGATTTCTTGTTTAGTAGTGTTTTCTAACTATGTATCATAATATATGTTGTATTATTTCTATTCTAATACATCAAATTCATTGTTATTCTTTTCTAGTACATCCTATTCACCAACAATGACTGTGATAAAGTCATAATACTTCTTTATTCTAAACCAAATATATCGAATTTGAATTTTCTTAAATAAAGAGTTGCCTTTGTTAGAATAATTTACCCTTAATATAGGAAATTTCGAACGCAAATTCAAATTCAGTAGACATCCCAATCAAACTACCTTTACATGTACACTTTTATTTATTTGACCATCATATTTTTCAAAACAGACAAAATAAGTGATATTTGTAAATCTTTTTTTTAAAAAAAAACATTATAGTGTTATTATTGCTGTATTGAAAAAATGGTAAACAAAGGCGCATGCAACAAAACACACAGGATATTCTTTCTTCACAACAACAATCATTTTTCAATGTACTATTTGCTCACACAATACTATCCATCAGCTTTCTTGCTACCTTTTTATTAGAATATAAAATTTATGTATCTTTTTCTTCCTTTCTTTTATTACTATTTCAATCAATATCTGATTTACCATGAAAATTTATGTTTCTTTTGTTTGAGTAGAAGGTACAAAAGCAAAAATTTTAGTTTCAAACACTTTTGAATTTTGTAGTCTTATATTAACTACGAATATGTATAATATATCAGAAATATACTTTAATCTTGTGATATCAAACATGTCATATTGTCAAAGTTAAAAAATTAACAAGTAATAGCCAAATTAGAAAAGATGCATTCGTTTATAAACATACTAATTAGACAGACAAATTGAAACTAAGAGACGATGTTTTATATTAGAAAAAAAAAAGAAATACTCTTGTCTCAGTTTGATATTCCTAGAAAATTAAATATTTATTTGATTTCTTCGCGTGTTTATCAAGCAGGTAGACAAAAGATACAACCATTATTGTGAACAAATGCAGATGGTTGTAAACTCATTTGATTTAGTCATGGGATTTGGAGCTGCAGTTCCTTACACATCACTAGCACATAAAGCCATGTCTAGGCATTTCAAGTGTTTAAAAGATGGGGTGGGGGCGCAATTGAAGAAGACATGTGAGGCATTAGGTGAAAAAGATGTAAGCAATACTACTAGTTCAGGGCTGACTAAAGGAGAAACACCAAGGCTTAAGTTGCTTGAACAAAATTTGAGACAACAAAGAGCTTTTCAACAAATGGGAATTGTGATGGAACAAGAAGCTTGGAGACCACAAAGAGGATTGCCCGAACGATCTGTCAATATTTTAAGAGCTTGGCTTTTCGAACACTTTCTACATCCGTACGTCTTTCTCTTCTTTCTCTAGCCAATTTTTTTATATACCACGTACTCTATTCGTCTCAGTTTATGTGAACGTTTTGAAAGTCAAACAAAGTTTTTCCTGTCATACTGTTTCTTAATAAGATATTTTGAGTTGTTAATTATGGTGAGTTGTTAGTATTTTTTACGAATTTGGAGCCTAAAGGTATAAAATGTTAATAAAATTTTTAAAATGGTATATAAATTTTTATTTTAATCAAAACAACAAAATTGCTCACGTAGTAGCGATTTCTTCCGCCGAAAAAAATAAAATTACTGTTATAGCAGCGATTTACAAAATTTCATTTTTTTAAAAAAAATCAAAGGAAACGCTGCCAAAGGAACGATTTACAAATTAACTTTTTTATTTATTGTTGTTTAACTTTGAAAAAAAAATATTTTTTTTAAAAAAAATGACATATAAATAATAAAAATAATAATTTTAAAGTAACAACAATTAAAAAAAAAGTTAATTTGGAAATAGCTGCTTTGGCAGCGATTTCTTTGAAATTCTTTTTTTTTAAATGAAGTTTCGCAAATCGCTGCTATGGTAGCGATTTTGCTTTTTCTGGCGGAACAAATCACTACTACGTAAGTGCTTTACCGTTTTGATTAAAATAAAAATTCATATTATTATTTTGAAATTTTTGTTAACATTTTATACCCTTTATGCTTCAGACTCTATTTTTTACTCATTATGTCTCAACTTACGTGACATTGATATTGAGAGTCGAACAAATTAATTTTGACTTTGAATTCAGGCGGGCGGGCAGTCTTTAATTAAGTTATGTGTTTTTTAAAAATTAAATAAAATATTTATATATTTAAAAACTATGTAAAAATACAAACATAAAGTTATAATTATTGATAACTCAAATTTTTAAAAATATGTATATGAAAAAATTATTGTAAGAAAATAGTTGTTTGAATTATGAAAGTGGAAAGGTGTCACATAAATTGAGACGGATGGAGTATGATAATATTTACATTTATAAAATTATATATTCTTTTTAAATAAATTTAAAGATCTTATATCCGAATTTAGTGTTAATTTTTTATATTAACTCTCTAGTTTTGTGACATATAAAGATTAAAGAAATAGCAGTTTACCCCTTCCTAGGATATGATCTACTTTTGGTAACTTGAACTCACAATTTTAGGATTGAAAGTGAAATATATTTATCATTTGAGTAATTCCCTTTTGTCAGGTGAATAAAATATTCACTTGATCAAAATGTTAAAACCCTAGAAAAAAAACTACATATAAGTTAAGTAACATAATGAAAAAAAAAGTAAAGTTAAATTACTTTGAAATATAAAGGAAAAATGCACAAGTATCCCTTCAACCTATGTCGGAAATCACATAAACACACTTATACTATATTAAGGTCTTATTATCCATGATTAAAAAGAATAGAATATAACAAAGTTAACTTGATGTTGAGTTGCTTTTGTTTGTATAAACTCTAGCTTACATACACTTGTCTCAAGTCCAAGTACCTTTATAAAATGTAGATCTTTGATATATACCACACAATCAAAAGTTAATGAGGAAAATGTTAGATACCCATGCATGATCATGGCAAAATGATTTTTTGTGCAATCAACTTTTATATTAGTCTAATCTAAAACACATTTCCAATAAATATTGAGTAACTGCTACATTTTCTTTTCCCCTCTCTTTGCAGTCAATGTTAAAGGCACTGCTTGCAATTCAGTCCTTTCAACAAAATGCAAAATTACCTCTTACTACTTTTTGTGCACCACTTTTACCTCTGCATGTAATCCAATATACTCTAAAAAAAAATATTAATTTTTAGCGGCAATAAACAGATACATAAATAAAGAGTGCTAAAGTCTTTAACGACATAGTTAAGTGTATTAGATTCAATGTCGCTAAAGTCTTTAGGGATATATGCAAAGAGTGTTAATTGCCACTAAAAGTATATATTTAGCGACAATTACTAATTAATTACCGCTAAAGATCAATTTTGATACAGTAATACTTCCATCTTGCTGACTTATTTAGGCATGCATTTGAAAAGCACTACTCTATCATCCCATTTTATGTGATTTAATACGAAATTTTAAAAAAAAGATTTTTTTTAAAATTTGTGTGATAAAAATATATCATAAATATTTATATGTTATTATGAATGATTTTGTTAGAGTAAATAAATATTTTAAAGTTAAATTCTTACCTCCTACATTTCTATTGAGTTATTGTTTTAGGACTACACCCCTTAAGAAACCATGTAACTTTTTTACCATTGCTGATTTTATATTTTTCTAAAGTTAAGTTTTACATGAATTAGTTTGTTTTGATTATTGAACATGAACTAATTATTTAGTTGTTAAATTCATACTTGTGGAACTAATAATACTTAAAGATGAAATGAGAAGAATATTGTTATTTATGTATTGATTTTATAAAATGATAAATATTTTAAAATATCTATTTTTAACAAAGACATGTAAATAGAAATAAAGAGAGTACTTAGATATAAAAAATATATTACTCGCTCCATTTAAAAAAGGATGACCACGTTTGATTTGAAACGGAGTTTAAGAAAAGAAAAAAAATATTTTTTAATCTTGTAGTTTTAAATTAAAATTATGTCAAATCTATCAAAATGTCCTTTAATTGTGATCTTAAACATGTCACGTATAAAGTTAAAGTTAAAGTATTGCCAAAATAGGAAGATAGAAATATTTTTATTTAAACTGGAGTATAATTATTTTTAAACAAACTTGTAGTATCAAATACATATGCCATGACATTTGTGTGTTCATTAAATTAATATACTTTGCATATTCTTTTGGTGGCAGTTAAATTACAGTTAAATGAATAGTCATTAAGGTGATATATGCATGACAACAACTTAACAATAATGATAAAAAAAAAAAGCAATAGAATCTATCTATCTATGTAATGAATGAATGTTAAGAAGAAAAAAGAAGAGGTGGAGTTGTCTTCTCTATTCACTTTCTGCTTTGGCCAGCAGCTCATCAATTTGGTATTTCCTTTTTCGATCCTCACGCCAATACGTATGTTTACATAATACACACAAAAAAGTTCTGAAACCGTCAAGTAGAGTGTATAAAAATAATGTAAAATACAAAGCATTGGTAATATTTGTATTAGTTATAATGAAAATGTTTTTATATATAATATTTAATTTAGTGTACTAAAAATATTATATATTATATAATTTTTTTAAAAAAAAATATGTATTTTTTATAAATATCTTCTATGAATATAGTGAAAATAGATGGTATTACTAATATATTCTTCAATACACAATAGTGTGTGTTACTAGTACGAACATTAGTTATGCATACGTTAGAAAAGTGTATCAAACTAAGTATTAATAATACATCAAGCTAATGCAAGCATTATAGTGTCTAATACATTCTACTAAATGAATAACGACTACGGATAACATTTCAAGCTTTTATATAGTTTAAAGGACTCTGATATTATTCATTCCATTAAGAAGGAATGATTTAATTTCATGATACAAAGTTTTAAAATATCATATGAAAAATTAAAATTTTTAAAACGGAGTATAATTTTTGTGTTTATTTTTTCTAATTTAAAATTTTTTTCTCAGGTATCCAAGTGATGCAGATAAGCATCTTTTGGCACGACAGACTGGTCTCTCCAAAAACCAGGTTTGCCCCACTGACCTTCTGTAAATTTATCTGTTTTTACTCAAAATATTTATTAGTAAGCATGAAAAAATAATAGTTATAACTCAGGGAGTAAATGATATGGTTTGATCAATTATTTTTAGAATTTATTTGGAAAATCATTTTAGTAATTGAATTTAATGTAATTGAGTTTAATTATATAATTTAGACATATATGGTTGGTCATATAATTACTTGATCATTAGGTAATTAAGTAAAATTAATAGGGAGGGAGGGGGATGTTATGAATTGATGATGATTATATGGTGTAATTACAGGTCATTTATTTTTACATTTAATCCTTTTATTTTTTTGCTTTAATTTATTTTTTATATTAATTTTTTTTAATCTTTATTATTCTAATATTTCTAAAAATATATTTTTGTTTTTATTTTTTAAATTTCATTTTCTTCTTAATCTCAATCTGTACTTCATGCGATTTTGTGCAATTTTTTGTATTATTTATTTTTTTCTTTTATTTCGTATAATTTTGTTAGGATTTTCATTTTTAAATTTTTTATTTTAAACCTAGAACTTATGTTATACTTTCAAATTCATTTATTTTAGGAGTATTGACTAGCTATTTTTTTTAGTTAGACTTGATGAATCATCTTTTTATCAATTTTTTTTTATAATTTTATAACATTATATTACAACAATACTACTACTAATAATAATAATCATGTTATATATATATATATGTGCAGGTAGCAAACTGGTTCATAAATGCTAGGGTAAGATTGTGGAAACCCATGGTAGAAGAAATGTATCAAAGAGAGGCTAATGAAGATGATGACATGAACAGTAGAAATACACAAAGACCAACGCCTGATATTACTACAACCAATTCTAAGATTACAGAAACAAAATCAGCTGCTGCAACTGAAAATGACCCTTCAATGAATACACATTATTCATCCTCTATGCAAACTCAATTAAACAATTCTCCCACTATTCAACATGAGTCCCACCGCAGCGGAGCCGAATACGACGGGACCACTGATATTGGATCCAAAATTATGACATTTGGGACCACCACGCCTGCTGATGTTTCTCTTACTTTAGGACTGCACCATGCTGGAAATTTACCTCATTTTTATAATTAATTCAACTAGTTTATTCCAACCATACTACATAATATATATAGTCACGTAACTAATTTACATGCACACACTTTTCTCTCTACATCATTTTATTTATGCGCTTCAAATTGGATGTTTGCATCTTGCAATATATACATATTTTGTTGGAAATTTTACGAAAAATTTATATGGAAATCATTAGCGTGTCAAAACTGAATCCTAATTCGTTCAACCCGTCCAGAATTTTTTTTAAGGGTTGGGCTCAAGAAAATTTGAATTGGGTTCAATCTCAATCAATTCAAGCTTAACTCATTTTAAGAGAATTCTCAATTGAGTCCAATTTAATCTCCAATTTCAACCCGTTTTAAATTTTTTAATTAAGATATGTTCCTATATTGAAGATACAAATTATTATCTATTTAACATTTTTTAGGATTTATTTATCAATTTGTTACTTTTCTAACAAAAAATTATTGAGTGAAAATTTAAATTGTGATTACAAAAGTTAAATATCAATATGTTAAATTATTGAGATTAATCGGACCAAAATGAGCGGGTCAAGACCCAATCCCTTTTTTAGCCCATTTAAACCCAACCCATTTGAGCCCAAAGTAAATTTGAACGGATAAAGATTCAACCTGATTTCTGTTCAACCTATTGTAATTTTTCTAATTTCAATCCAATCCACCCGTTTGACACCGTAAAAGTAAAGAAAATTTGTTTGTGGACCCAAAGTGATCATGGGGACACATGATGCTGTTTGGGCTTTTAAAATTGAACTTATCTTACGCAATGGAGTATTGCATTTAATTGTTTTCCTTTGTACATGTACAAACAAGATTCTTTAGTTAATTTTTGTTTTTTTCTCTCAAAACAATAAATTGAAATGACAGTTGAATTGGTCTGTTTTACTTGGGATAGTTGTACGTTACAATCAATGAATTATTATGATGTTCTTCTTTACCTGCCCAGCTATATTGCACATAAAAACAAAATAATGCACCTAAAACACGTGACATCGATTTTTTAAATTTATTTTTCTGTGGGGGAGTAAATATCTTTTTTTAAAAAAATATATATATTGATATCCTTTAAACTTATTTAAATTTGATTTAGATATTTAAATTAAAATTTATTTTAATTGAGCACTTAAATGTATAATAAAGTGTTCATATTAGACACTTTAAGTCAATATTGTTAAAATAAAATATTGGAAGTGTTTTTAATCGTTTTTAAGGTATTTAAACTAATCGTGTAAAATATAACATTTTTTAAATCTAAATTAGAATAAGTCTAAGGTTTTACAACTTATTGAGACAATATTTTTATAATTAAATGAGATAATATATTTTAAGTGATTAACTTATCTACATGGATACTTGAAAACACTTTTAAATATTCTTCAAGGACTATCAATGTATAGAACCTTTTTTTTTCAGTCAGAACTATTTCTTCTATTTCAATTTAGCATAACTAAGAGAAAAGTAAATTATTTTTCTTATTTTACCCTTTAACATTTACTACTTCATTTCTTAAGTTATTCTCGAAGTCTTTTTGAAATGATATTAATAAATACATTATGATAAAATATACATTTGCATTTATTACATTATGATAAAATATACACTTGCATTTATTATTTCTGAATATAAGTACAAATTCATTGTGAAAGAGTAAAACTAAACAAACAAAATATTTTAACCTTATTTTAAAATACAATAAAAAAAAGTCTTTTATCTTTAAATTTTTAAATTTTCTATTCAATCAAAATAAATAATCTCCTACATACATAATACAAATTAAAAAGGAAGGAGTATTGATACTTCCTCCGTCGTCTTTTAGTTGTTATGTTACATTTTTTCGAAAGTCAATCTGATTAATTTTTAAAATTAAATTAGATTACATTAATTATTTTTTTTAAAAAAAAAAATTAATATGGCGAAGAGAGTGGTTGGCTAGTTTGCAAGTAGCATAGTGAATGATTGCAGCCTTAAATATAGTAATCATTCTAACTAGAGGATATAAGAGTGTCTTCATAATTATTTTCTATGGATAATATTTGAATGAACCCTAGCTAGTAAACACACAAAAGCAACTATCAAAACAACTATGGAGACCTCAGATTAAGAATATAATAAAAATTATGTTTATCACTCTACCCTTGTTGATATCAAATAGGATTTAACGTAGAATTAAAATCATTGAGTTTGATTGAACTCGTATATAACATTCTCCACCCACTCTATACCCTAAAAAGACAATAAATGGTTAATGTTATTAGGTAATCAGATATGTGTTAAGAGTACAAACAAGAGTTTCATGCATGACTGTCATTTCAATAAATTAAAGGACCACCTTTTCTCCAACTAAGTTGGGTGATGTAGTTAATTAAGAGGACCACACACATGCACACAAACCTTATCATAGCCACCCATTCTACATCTAATCTCTTATATCATCGTAGGTTCACATCTATTTTTGTTGCAAATTTAATAAATTTTATGTAAAAAATATTAAATTCAGATGAATAACTGAGTTCAGATCAATATCAATCGTGACAGCTCGAGGCGAAGGCCATACATTTGATAATTGCATCTTTTACAAAAAAAAAAACCAACATAATTGGTAGTAGTTTATAATCTATGAATTATTAGCACGACCTTTCATAATATCTAACTTCGTTTTTTCTTTTTCAAAGCCACTACTTTTTGGATAATCAACTTTTGATTCATAATATTAGTCAATTGCCAAGAGGGGTCCGCATTAGGGTTATAACTAAATTCGGATGCTCACTGCAGGATTTATTCAAAGATGATACATTCAATAAGATTTTCTTCATACCTAGATCTCGAATCCGAAATCTCTGATTAAAGGTAAATCACTTCCTTCAGTGAATCACTACCCACCCATGTTAAAGGGTTTTTACCTAGAATGTTTGCAATATGTGATTGTATATTAAAGGTAAGGTCTAGTCCCCGTCTTCTCCATAATATGATGTACATCACATTAGAAAACTTGGGTATTTTTTACCATAATGAAACCAAACCCAATAAATGAAATGGAGGGAGTATCTTTTGCAAACTTTGGTTAGTACGTCAAGTAATAATTTTTTTTTTAAAAAAAGGGCATGGTACATAGGTCAATATTATTAAAAACGTACGTTATAATGCAGGATATACGTTATATATTCAGCATTCAATATTGTGAGTAGCCTTTAGCTACATATAAATTTGAATTTACTTTTTAAAATTAATATACATATTACCAAGAGAGAGAGAGAGAGAGAAATATCTAACTTGTGGTTTTGTTGCATTATTCCTCCTTATTCATCTTCTAATAATTTAATAAAAATTGAATTATGCTTCGTTTTATTTTTGTACGTACAATGTAATTGCACATACTTCAATCACAAAATATAAGCGTAAAAAATCAATTTAAACTTGATTCAGTAAAAACCAATATAAATGTCATTGAGGTATAAAGGGTGAATAATTCGATAAAATGCTCACTACTCTATTATTCGCAAGGTATATGTGTGATATACGCTGATATTATGATATACACATGCCAATATGTATTGTATATTACAAATGTAATGGCGAGATGTATGGGTATACATTGATATACACGGTAATATACATGTTATTGCCACGGTATCCTCTAAATTTATGACATGGATCAATATTTGATGAACGTGAAAATTTTTTTTGGACAAATTTGGTTTTGGAGATGTAAAGTTAGGAATGAAATATTCAATTTTTTTGTATTTTTTAGCTCGTTTGACATGCTTTGGATATTCATTTTCATTTTTCTCTTGGAGTTATAATTGTTAGAGTGAAAGTTATTTATGCCTCTCAACTTGACTTCAAAAATTAAAATCTCACATCAATTATGAATAATAGATATGCTTTATCTTTTCTATAATGTGTATTTTATCTTTGACGTTCTCAATTATTCATCTATATATTATCTATTTATGTTAAAAATAATATTTGTATTTTTAAGCAGACCCAAATGTGAAGGATCATTTGAAGGACAAATGTGCAATATTATGGTAAATAAATGGGGAAAGCCCAAGTTGAAACTCTACACAGATCCAACTGATGAAATTTGGATGGAAATATTACGTGACACGGCAAACTAAGGCCCTATATTTACTTGAAATAGATCGGTAGGAAAAATTACCTGGATGAATAATTTTTAATAAATAATTACTGATTTTAATGATAAATTTATTTATTATTATTTATATAATATATAGCAATATTATGATAAATCTATAATATATATTATAAATGAATTACGTATGCAATATATATCTATTATAACTGTTTTAAAATATATCATGCTTGTTTGATAAGAAATTTACACATTATATTAAAATGTGTGATAAATATGTTATATATCAATAGAATTTGTATTATATGTGTTTTATAAATTATACTTTGTATTATGTAGTGAAACTTTATTATAAATGTATCAAAAGTGATTAAGTGAAAAAAAATGATATTGCTATAAATGGTAAATATTTTCTTAATATAGTATATTCATGTATCTAGTGCGATTCACATATATCTAACATACACAGTAAAATCTTAATAATCTGTTATGTATTCCAGATACATGCGAATCAAACTAGATACATGTATTTGTATGTATCAGGTGTGATTTGGCGAGCGATATGAGAGAAAGGCTAGGGAGATTTGTTATGTATCTCAGAGATACATGTAAGTACACTTGGATACAATGTACCTAGAACAACTTTGACCTCATGTATCTTGAAATACATGTATTTAGACATATCTGAACACACCAAAATTTGATAAAATACAAATTTTGCAAATTAGAGTGTATCTAAATGTTATATTGCACGACAAAAGTGAGGTTATTATTTATGACTAGTGGTGGCAAATGTTGTCTTGGATAAAATTTGGGCGGATTGAAAATGAGTCAACATAAAATTAGTAATAATTCGACCCGCCCATATTTGATATTGGTAAAATGGATTGGATAACAAATTGATTGGGTAAAATGGATTAGTCTTTTACATATGAAAAATGTTTAAAATGTTTCATTTAGTTTTATTG